TATGTTTCCCTAGGTCCAGGTCTTATGACTGATACTAAGAGGAAGACTAGCCTGTGCAAAGACACAGAAGTAAGAAAAGAGCAGCACACATTTTCTGGAACCGCAAGGTCAGTCAATTTGGGCAACAAGGTTTGAGATGAGAGTATCAAGCACAGTTCTAAGGACTTTATGATTATTTTATTAATTACTCTTCTAAGTCCACATACTCTATGATAGCTTAAGCACTTATTTGTTGTATTTTAACAATGAGAAAACCTTAGCATGTAAAAAGTTAAATAACTTGAATACAACTGACTAGATGCAGAGCCAGAATCAATTAAATCTAACAAAAGAGGAAGACACAGATAGCTCAGTTTTGGAGCAACTATCAAGCATGCAATAAGCTGGATCAATCACATGATCCAGCAACTCCACTTACTTCTAGGTATATATCCAAAGAAAATGAAAAATATTCAAAGAGATACATGCATTCCCACATGTATTGCAGCATTATTCACAGTAGCCATCATATGGAGACAACCTAAATAACCTCTAAAAAATGAATGGATAAAAAACATGTGATATATATACACAATAGAATACTACTCAATCATGAGAAAGGAGAATATCCTGTTTCTGACAACATGGATTGATTTTGAACACATTATGGTAAGGGAGATAAAAAAGGCAGAGAAAGACAAACACAAGTATTGTATGATATCATTTATATGTGGAATCTAAAAAAGTGAAACTTGTTTAAAAAAAAAAAAGAATAAAATGCTTACCAGGAGATGGAGGAGGGGATGGGATTGATGTTGTTTACTACTACTCACTTATAAGCAGTAGTAAATAAGAGAGAGATAATGCACAGAACAATGACTATAGACAATATTATATGATAACTATTAAATGACAATGCTGAAAAGCAATGAAAATACCATATATATATATATATATATATATGTAAATAAGTTAAAAAAAAAAGAAAAAGAATTCAGTATGGTGAAAATGAATGGGAAAGAAGGAAACAGATTCAGTAAGTGTGGCTATGTAGACATTCTTAACCAAGGTTCAGTTCAGTTGCTCAGTCGTGTCCAACTCTTTGTGACCCCATCAACTGCAGTACGCCAGGCCTCCCTGTCCACCACCAACTCAGGGAGTTTACTCAGACTCATGTCCATTGAGGCGGTTATGCCATCCAGCCATCTCATCCTCTGTCATCTCCTTCTCCTCCTACTCCCAATCCCTCCTAGCATCAGGGTCTTTTCCAATGAGTCAACTCTTCGCATGAGGTGGCCAAAGTATTGGAGTTTCAGCTTCAGCATCGGTCCTTCCAATGAACACCCAGGACTGATCTCCTTTAGGATGGACTGGTTGGATCTCCTTGCAATCCAAGGGACTCTCAAGAGTCTTCTCCAACACCACAGTTCAAAAGCATCAATTCTTTGGCGCTCAGCTTTCTTCACAGTCCAGCTCTCACATCCATACATGACCACTGGAAAAACCACAGCCTTGACTAGACGAAACTTTATTGGCAAAGTAATGTTTCTGCTTTATAATATGCTATCTAGGTCGGTCATAACTTTCCTTCCAAGGAGTAAGCGTCTTTTAATTTCATGGCTGCAGTCACCATCTGCAGTGATTTTGGAGCCCCCAAAAATAAAGTCTAACACTTTTTCCACTGTCTCCCCATCTATTTCCCATGAAGTGATGGGACCAGATGGCATGATCTTACTTTTCTGAATGTTGAGCTTTAAGCCAAGTTTTTCACTCTCCTCTTTCACTTTCATCAAGGTAGATATGGGAAATAACTAAAGTATATTTTGCTCCCTTTGATAGCTTTTTCAAGAAAGTTTTAACACTTGAGCATATTCAAATACATACTGGAAAAAGCTGATTAAAAGGAATAATAAATAGAAGGATATAAAAGTAACAGCAAATTTTTATTTAGAGCTTAAGATGTATGCCAGACACTGTCATTACGTATTTCATACCCATAACAACCCCATGAAGTATGTATTGTAACAATTTACACTTTACAGAAGTCTCAAAACACTGCCTGAAGTGCTTGAAGTCCAGAGCTATGAGGATATGTATGCAGGTCCTCAAGTCCATGCTCTAAATCAGTATGTTTACACTGCAAAGCCTAATGAAGCCCTACCTTCGTAAAGGAAAAAAAAAAAGACTTATTCCTACTGTAATAAGTGGTAGGTACATAATGACTGTTAAGTGAATACAGACCTATGCTGTTCTAAGTCACTATGCTTATGTGTTTCTGTTTCAAAACAGTTTTATTTCTCACTGTAAATCAGCCACTATGTATTAATAATGCTAACCATAATAGTAATGCAAAAATTCTTTTTAAAATATCCCTTCCCTACTGCTGTAAGTTTTATAATAGAAGTAGACAATCAGTGATATAAAAATTAAGGACTTAATGGGAATATGAACAGACCAAAAAAAGGATGCAGTGAATTACAACCAGATTCTTACAGAGGTACGGAGACCAGAACAAATTGATAACATCATTGAAAATGATAGCGAAGCTAGAGCTTGCTTAGAGATCTGAGCATGCTCAGTCGCATCTGACTCTTTGCGACCTCACAGACTGTAGCCCTGCCAGGCTCCTCTGTCCATGGAATTTTCCAGGCAAGAAGTGGGATGGGTTGCCATTTCCTTCTCCAGGGGAATCCTCCCGACCCAGGGATCAAACCTGTGTCTCATGTGACTCCTGCACAGCACACTATATATATATATATATATATATATATATATATATATATATAGTGTATTGTGCAATATAGATCTTTGCTATAGCTTAGGCAATGTTAGTGGTTAATAAGCTCATTCTACTATGAACATAATCATAATACTTTCCTCCAAGAATAAACTGTGCAAGAAAAAAAACCTAAGTTTTCTTAAAATTAAAGTATACAAAAAACTTTACTGAAACAGCTTCTATAAAAAATAGCATCTATAAATAAATAAATACAATAATGTCATTGTTTGAAGTAAGTTCAAAACAAAGAATCATTAATCACATAAAAATAACAAAGTTATTTATTTTTAAAGTTCTTTTAAAAACAGTTTATAGTGTTTTGAAAACTGAACTTTCCCAAAGCTAGTTTTTAAAACCTGGACCACATGTGTTCAAAGCAGCCTTAAGAAAATTAAAAGATGTGCCAAAGACAGGAAAAAAGTTTCTCTAAAATATGCTTAAAGGACTTACACCCAGAATAATAAAATCTAACAACTCAATTACTTAGAAAATAAACATTCCCAATAAAAATGGGCAATAATTTGAGTAGATATTTCAACAAGGTACATCAATGGCAAATACTGTTACAGATGCTAAAGCTTCAATATTTTGGCCACCTCACGCGAAAAGCTGCCTCACTGGAAAAGACCCTGATGCTGGGAAACACTGAGGCCAAGAGGAGAAAGGGGCAACAGATGTTGGATGGCATCGCTGACTCAACTGACATGAGTTTGAGCAAACTCCAGGAGATAGTGAAGGAAAGGGAAGCCTGGTGTGCTGCAGTTCATGGGGTCACAAAGAGTCAGACATGACTTACTGACCGAACAATGAACAACAACAATGGCAAATAAATGCATAAAAAGATGCCCCACATCATTAGTCACTAGGGAAATGCAAAGTAAAACCATAATAACAAACTTATCCATTATTCAAAAAGCTGAGAATACCATGTGCTGATGAGGCCAAGGAGCAAATGGAATTCTCATACAAAATGGTGGCATGAAAAATGGTTAAATCCATTTTGGACAATCGGTTGGCAACTTCCTATAGTTAAACATACACTTATCACACATTCCAGCAATCACAATCCTCAATATTTAGATCTATGCTTTATTCATAATCTCCTAAAACCAGAAACAATCTATATGTCTATCAACAAGTGAACTGTAGTGCATCTTTACTATGAAATACCAGTCAACAATAAGAACTATTGATACATGAAACAACAAGAATGAATCTCAAAAGCACTATGCTAAGTCAAAGAAATCAGAAACAAAAAGCTACAAACTAATGATGTATAATTTATTTACATGATAGTCTAGAAAAGGCAAAACTAGAGGGACAAAAAAAATCAGATCAGTGGTTCCCAAGGGGTTATGTATGAGGAAAGAGATTGGCTACACAGGTGGCACAAGTGTGTAAGACTGCCAAAATTCAGAAAACAATATAACAAAAAGGGTGAATATTATGTATATATGTAGGGAAGGGAAAACCAAAAATGGTGAAACCATTTCTATAACAAAACAGGCAAGAGATTTAATAAAAGCTTTAAGAACACAACTGGAATAACTATTTTAAATTAGCCCTCGGTATACAAGAAAATTTCTCAAAATTTTAATGATGAGAATACAAGCTCTTTTACAGCAACCTAAATACTAAAGGACCAAGAATAATCAAGAATGTTTAAGTTTGCTTTGGGGTTCAACCCATCCAAGAAGGATCAAGTTAAAAACAGGTGGAAACATTAGTAATCCTTTGAGGGGTTTCCAAGGTTAGACATTTATTTGGATTTTATAAAATGGCAAAAAAAACCTTGAAATACAGTCTCAAAAGTCTTAGATTACTGTGCTGTGCTTAGTCACTCAGTTGTGTCCGACTCTGAAACCCTGTAAGGCTATAGTTCCTCTGTCCATGGGGTTTCTCCAAGCTAGAATACTGGAATGGGTTACCATGCCCTCCTCCAGGGGATCCCAATCCAGGGACTGAACCCAGGTCTCCCGCATTCCAGGTGGATTCTTTACCATCTGAGCCACCAGAGAAGCCCAAGAACATTGGAGTGGGTAGCCTACCCCTTCTCCAGGGGATCTTCCAAATCGAGGAACTGAACCAGGGTCTCCTGCATTGCAGGCCAATTCTTTCAGCTCTGCTACCAGGGAAGAATGTTTTTGCTTTTTTCTTAAAATTATTTAATAGACTTGTTTTAGAGCAGTTTTAGGTTCAAGCACAACTGAAAGTACAGACTATTCTGTATATGAATAATTACCTCCAAAATGAGATTAAGGTTTGTAGTGAGAGCCTGAACACGGTGGAAACCAGCAATCAGGGAAATAGGCAAGAAACCTTGCTCGTCCATCTTTCTCCTAAGAAAGAAATCCCGTTCCAAATTTTCTATACTGAAGTAATACTCACTGAAAAGAAAAAGAAGTAAATATAAATTTCATCAAGTTATTCAACTGGAAATTAAAATGTCTATTGTTTAAGATATCAACTGCTATAAAACTATTTTGATTTATTGTAACATTATACACATTTACTGTAGCCTAGGATAAATATAAACAGCTGTAAAACCCTACTGATAGTAAATTCTCTTACACAAGTAGAAAGAAATTTAGAATACTATCTTCCCAAAAACTAACTTCTACTTAGATCAACTTTACCTAAGCATAAACAATTAAAGAGTGTTATTCTTTAAAACAGTTCAATAACTGACTTTCTAATGAGTTCATTAAGTGAAAATTTCATTTCAAAGCCACATTAACCATATGTATAATAGCCAACGGGAATTTGCTATATGGCTCAGGAAACTCAAACTGGGGCTCTATACCAATCCAGAGAGGTGGGATGCAGCAGGAGACAGGTTCAAAAGGGAGGGGATATATGTATACCTATGACTGATTCATGTTGAGGTCTGACAGAAAACACCACAATTCTGTAAAGCAATTATCCTTCAATAAAAAAAATAAATTATATAAAAAAAGACAAAGTCACATTAACTTGCTTCATTTAAACACTAAATAACAAAGTTAAACATGTCAACAGACTGCCTTCCAACTTTTTCCCATCACTGAAAATAATGGTATATTAGAAGCAGTTTTTACCAAGTTTACAGAGCAGATTAGTTTGCTGTGTTTTCTAAGCTGGTACAGTAATGACATTGTTTAATATGTACAAACTTTAGCATACAGCACAATGTTTAGTAAAAGCTGAGTGAGTACATGAACACAGATGCACACACTCAATTTTATATTTGAATGATTCAAGACCCTCAACCTCCCCTTTGAGAGGCAAAACTATAAAAGACATTAAAAGTGAACAGAATATAGCTAAATAAAGAACATCTATAACATCATGAGGTATATACATAGGTGAAAATCTATAGAAGCAAACTTTCACACCTTAATTGTCTCTCTAGGAAAGCAGAGAGGGAGGTGTAAATGAACACGCTGTGGGATCAACAAGTTCCAACATATAAAGATAATATGAAGAATACATATAATAATGGCATTTCAGAAACACTTGTTTAAATTACAGCTTGCATATTTTAAAAAATGACAAGATTCTAGAGAAACAGAATAAGAGGATAAAAGAGGGAAAATATAGAAAAGAATAATACAAAAGAAATACATGACATCAAATGATATGGCTTACAGTTTAACAATCCTACACTATATCCAAATCACAAAGCAAGTTTTCAAAGGGTGGCAACTGGGTGACTAGAGATACCCTTGAAGTATTTAGGTCAAATTCTTAATTTTGAAGAAATAATTACCTATAAATGAAAGCTGGCTTTGAGCTACCTTTCACTGGGTGGGGAAAAAAAATCTCATTTTAGAAATGTAAATACCCAAGTTGTTTTTCTACTCTGATATTTTCCAACTATCAAAGTGCAAAGCTCCCTTAGGTCAGTGAAATACAACTAACATCTCAGTAACACTAGGTAAATCATTTACTCTCCTTAAACACTGAAGAAAATTAAGAAAAAAAATCTAAGTCTTGAAGAAATAAACATTCTGATTTTTGTTACACCTCAAAAGCCTTTTTCACAGTGCCTGGCATGTGGTGGGCACATAATACATATGTTTAAATTTGAAAATTTTCAGACATTAAGACACCTGATTTAACCATAAGTTAAAAATGTTTAGATTAAAAACTTCTCTGAACCATTAATTTTTTTAAATCTAGTACTCTGAAAAACACAGTACCTAAATAAACTCATAAACCACCATTACTTATAGTATACACTTTTTAAAAATTTAATGGGCTGCAAACGTACTTATATCTGAATGCCAAGAGGCTATCCACATAGTTAATACACATTTTCAGTTAATATTATTTTAAGGACTCAAACATCTATGATATAGTTAAGCCTCTTCAAAAATATTTAGCATAATATTCCATAAGTACAAGAAGCTTTTCAGGAACTTCTCAAAGAGAAAAATCTAAACACTCATGAATGAATAAGCCTGTACATGTATGCGAAACCTTAAAGACACAAAGTCAAAAGCATGACTTCTCAAATCTAGATGTGCACTAGTCAGAGAATGATAACAGTAAACAGCCATTCTAAATTTGGTTCTCTAGTACCTGCCAAAAACTCTGCTGCTAAACAATGACAAGAAAAGAAGCCATGACTGGTGCTGTGTCTGACATTTTGTTCACTGTCCTAGGGGACATTATCATGTCCTACCTTGAAGCTCTGGATTCTACACTGCATGATCAGAAATTAACACTGAAGTAGCTGTTCTCCTCCCTCACCTGTATGAGCACATTGGAAGGCCAGTTATCCTGACATGGAGTTGCCTGTCCACTGTCAGGTCTCAGAAGGAACCTGGTAGCAAGAGTTACCAAAACAAGCACATGAATAAACAAAAAGGAATAATAATTTGAAGTTGATAGCCACATGCCAGGCACTTTCTGCCCATAAAAAGGCCCTTTTCTTCAGTGTTTTCATCAACTATAACAAAAGAAGCAAGAAAAAAATAAACAAGTTGCTTCATATTGTAAGCCAATCAAATCCATCATGATGGCATCCAAGGAAGATGGCTGGCTGATGCTGATGAAAAAATTATTTTCAAGTAATGAGCCAAGATTCATTTTCTTTTTTAAAATAAAGGTAGATATTTTAAAACTGCTATGTCCTTTCAAAAATAGCCTTTCCCTTCCCTTTATAAGAATAAAAAAAAAGTTAAAATTTTAGCTAATTAGATATGCATATGCAAATCACTATATAAACATGCAAAACATCCTACACAATACTAATACACAGAGGGTTATTATTTTTTTCTTGCTTAAAGATAATAGAACAAACAATATTCTCCTAACATCAACTTCAATATTCAGAAAGCAACTATTATAAAAAGTATAAACTAAATAAGATTATTAGGTAGTCTCCTTTTAATATGTGTCTCAGAGAACTTAAAAGTTAAAAAACAATCAGAATTCTGAAACCAATTGTGAAGAAAGTCAGAAGACAGCAACCATTTTTTGCCATTTATGTTCATCTGCAAATTTTAATATAAACATTTATTTGCAAATTAGCTAAATTTCATTTGCTCAATTTTTAATATATACACTCGTTTCCTCAGTGGCTGAGCCTCAGTGGCTCAGAGAGTTAAGAATCTGTCTGCAATGCAGGAGACCCAGGTTCCATCCCTGGGTTAGAAAGATCTCCTGGAGAAGGTAACAGCAACCCACTCTAATATTCTTGCCTGGAAAGCCCATGGACGGAGGAGCGTAGTGGGCAATAGAGTCAGGTATGACTGAGCAACTAATACTTCACTTTTTAAATTCTTATATTTAATCATTCACATTATGCTTTTTTCACTAATATCCTTGTAAGCAGAGAAATACCGCAGTAGAGAAAGCAGTCATATAAACAACAACATGAACCAATATAAATTTTTAAAAATACTTTATATACTTTACTAACATTTCCTAGAAATAAAATATAAAATACTATTAAAATCCTCTAATTTTACTAATAAACAGCTTAGAAAAATGTGTTATATTCATTATCAATGATGTTAAACTTTGACATTATAACAGATTTTCCTACCGCATCTGTTCAATCTCTGATGACTTACATTTGGCGCTTAATATACTCTTTAAGCAATGCTTCTTCCACAGGATACACCTGTACGCCTGTACCATCATCATAGTAATACATCATACTGGTATTAAGTTCTGTTTGAAATGGTTGATCAGTCCTTTCACCATGTTCTCGATAACCATATGAATAATCAAAGTTCACTTGAAGTAGTAAAGAAAGAAAAATGATCACAGATTGAAAAAAAACAAAGAACAGTTACTATAAAGAAAAATCCAACGTGAAGTTTCTCAAGGGCTAACAAATACAAAACCACCTTTATTATCAGACAAAAACTCAGCTGAAACACTATATGGTATAGTGGGAAAAACAGAGGATTTGTACATTTTTCATCATTCATCTAATTTAACAAAACAAAAATCATGTCTTACATTGAGGATTTCCTCTGCCCCGGCCTCTTCCTCGTCCTCGGCCTCTTCCTCGGCCTCTAAAGGAGCCTCGGATATTACCACCCTCACTTCTCACACTGGAAACTTCATCTTGATCATCTCTCTTTTCTCTTTCACGCCTCCAACCTTTTTTAAAATAAAAATATTTTTATACATTCCAGTTTGCAACTATGATTAACATCTTATCTTACAAAAATGTGGTAACCACCCCTCCCGGCTTTGTAACCAGTTATTAGTAACTGGTCATTCTTCAGAAAGATAGAAACTGAAGAGATTACATAGGAGTGTGTCAAACTTTCTGGCATAAAAGACATTTTATGTTGTTGTTGTTCAGTCGCTAAGTCACGTCTGACTCTTTCCAACCCTATGAACTGTAGCACATCAGGTTTCCATCACTATCTCTGGGAGTTTCCTCAAACTCATGTCCACTAAGTCAGTGATGCCATCCAATCATCTCACCCTCTGATATAATAATTATAATAATATCTTATAAGAAGATATTCTAATAAGTAAAATAATATACTACAAAGATAATGAGATCCTTTGCTAAAACTGTACTGTTAAAAATTCAGGAAGTTCCAAGGTAACTGAGTTCTATACTATACAAAACTCCAAAAGAAAAAAAAAAAGACAACTTATTTTCAGAAATAGGAATTTTTGAAGGAAATAATATTTCTATTTAAGTGAAAGACTTTCCTTTTTTAAGAAAAAAGGGAATGAAAACAGAAAAACTGAGATATCAGAAGCCTGTGCTTCTGATTGTACACAAATTATTGTACACAAATCATATCCAGCATACATACAGAACTCAGACAAATATATCTTATGCACATGCACATTCTCACACATACAGCAACTTAGATGGAAAAAATCATTAAAAGATTGGAAAGGCAAACAAGGAAATGCAACGAAACAATAAAAAAATGATGCTCAGTGTCACTGGCCTTCAGAAATGCAAGTTAAGACGATCAAAGAGTATTTTCTAATCTGTACCAGTGTGAAAAATATTTTAAGGTCCTATAATATCAAACATTGACTAAGATAGAGAAGATAGAACTTTTTTATAATGCCAGAGTAAGAACAAATATATTTCAATTTTGAAAAACTGAAACAATGAAATAAATGTAAAGGTTTGTATACCCTAGACACCAGGGTTTCTCACCCATGGCATTATTGACATTTTTGAATCAGATAACTTTTTAGTGTGGGGGCTGTCTGGGTACTGTAGGATGTTTTGTGTTATCCTTATTTTCTACTCACTAAATACCAGTAGCAAGATTTATAATTTTATATAAGTCATATTTTGTGGACAACTGAGTAAATATTAACTAGACTTAAGATGATATAAGGGAATTAGTGTTGATTTTCTTGGATGGTGCATTTTCTTGGGACATCAGTGCTCAAGTGTCATAATATCTGGAAGTTACTTTCAGATGACTCAGCAGATGGATGAATTAAAGATAACCAAATTACTCAATCTAGATGGGGATTAGACAGGTATTCACTGTACAATGCTTTCATGGGACAACATGCCTAAAAACTTATCAGACTCAGTAGAAGGGGCTTCCTTGGTGGGTCAGTAAAAAATGCACTGGCCAATGCAGGGGACACAGGTTTGATCCCCAGTTTGGTATAAGTCTCCGCATGCTGTGGAGCAACTAAACCTGTGCACCACCATTACTGTGCCTGTAGGGCCCATGATCCACATCAAGAGAAGTCACCGCACTGAGAAGCCCATGCGCCACAACTACAGAGAACCACCCCCCACCACAGCTGAAGTAAACTCACGCAATAGATTTCAGTAGAAAACTATAAAAGCAAATGCTCAGGGAATTCCCTGGTGGTCCAGTAGTTAGGACTCTGCACTTTCACTGCCAAGGGCACAGGTTCAATCTGTGGTCAGTGAACTAAGACTACGTTGTGCGGTGCACTAAATATATTTATTTATGTATGTATGTGTGTGTGTGTGTGTGTATCTGTGTAAGTGTATATACGTGTGTGTGTGTACACATACACACATTTACCATACCACCTAGCAACTTCCTCCTAGATGTTTACCAGGGAAACAAAGACATATGCCCACAGAAAAGCTTGTATACAAATGTTGATGGCAGCATTAGTCATAACAGCCTAAAACTAGAAACATGCCAAATATCTATGAACAGATGAATGGATAAATGAGTATATCCATTCAACAGAAAACTGTTATGCAATAAAGAGGTAGAAATTATTGATATATGGAACAATACTGATGAATATGAAAATCATTATGCTGAGCAAAAAAAATACAAGAGGATATAATTTATATTGTATAGTTAAATTTATTCTGAAAAGGTAAATAAAATCTGATAGAAAGTAGACTCATGGTTAGGGACTTGACAATAATTTCAGTGTAGTTTCTTTGATTATCAGTTCACTAAAGTTGACTTTTAAAAGGATCCAGAAACACATAAGAGGCTCCCAAGAGCCAACTCTGGGACAATTTGAGCATTAAAATTAAACAATCATGGTAATTATTTCAACAGCTGAAAATATGAGAAGACTTTAGTCCACACCAATAACAACAGGGAGTTGTTCCTTACAGTGGAATGCCAATAAGGAATGTTGTAATAGCTAAATTAGCATTTACAGCCATCATGGTTAATACCTCAGTCACATAAGAATAAAAATCATCAGTGGAAACTAAGGCTCATATGAAAACTCTGATGAAAAAATGGGTATTCTCACATTCTCAAAGTCTCTGACCACAAATTACATATTAATCACCAAGGGAAAAAAGAGTATCTTTATTATAAAGAAATCTGGAGTACCTCATCTTAACCAAGTGCTCAAAGTTAGTATCACCAATAATAAGATACACCAATATTATATGTTATTTTCAAGCTACACACTTGAAAGAAAACCATTTAACCTTTGCAGTATTCTTGCCAAAAACTCATAACCCAATCATGAGGAAACATCAGAAAACCCAAAGTGAGGTATGGCATAGACACATAACAGTCCTATGTCCTTCAAAAAAGATCATCATGAAAAGACAAAAGCAGAAGAACTATTTCAAATTAATAGAAATGAAAGAGAAGACAAGTGAAAGCAATGTGTGATCACAGGTTAGATTCTGGAAAAGACAGAAAAACTGCAAAGGGCATTATTGAGAAATTCTGTCTGTGGACAGACAGACTGTGTTACTGTTCCTATGATATATACTCTTTAACCCTGAATAAGGGGCACAATATCTGCAACTTACTCTCAAATACTTTATATCATATACATGGTTATTAAAACAATAAGCATTAAGGCTAAATTAAGTCATTTTTCTCTTAAAATGTTACTTACTTCGTGTGTCATTTCTCCTATTGTTATGTGATGATTTATTTGCTTCAGATTGACATCTTGAGCTATTCCGGGACCCTGGTCTTTCTTGACTCTCTGGTCTTACATCTTCTAAGTGAAGTGGTACCCATCTGTGCTTATTAGCTTTAAGAAAACAAAATAAAATCACTTAAAGACAATGTACAATTTACATGAAAGCTTTGCAATTGTAAAGGGAGTCTAAATATTACTAAATGAAAACTGCAAAATTTCTAAAGCTCAAGTGAAAAGACAATGATAGAGTATAACTGGAATTCTTTTGCTTTTAAGTGAAATGCACACTCTTCCATTTAATTCTGACAAAGAAGTTATAAAAAATATTAAGTGTACACACTACTCTCATCTAATACTTGATACTTAGGCTTTAGAACAGGGTACACCTGATAATTGTTTGAATACTGATTCAAAACACTTAGTTTAAAATAATTGGCTCAAATTTTAATTTATCCAGCATAACTACTAATGAGCTTTCTCAAAATGAACTTTAACTGCAAATCTAACTGCATTTGATAAATCTTTGTATTTTCCTAACTTCTTCAGAGATATAAGCAATTTGATATTTCTTGTTGACTAAATGATAATGTAATTAATAGCTATAGTATAGTGAAATCTGAAGATTACTTATTCATGGATTGCACAGTTAAGGTTTCAAAATGTTCAGAGTTCTGCCCAATAAAATTTTCAACTAAAACACAAAAAGATTCATGGGCAAAGGAAAAACTACCAAATTAATTAAGAGAATATTAGTGTATTAATTTCCTACAAATATGGCAAACTATGGACAGATAAGGAAAAGGGAATACGAAAGAATCTAAAAGTTCTCTAAAGTCTATATTCTAAATCCTAATGAGTATCAGTGAGATTCTTTGGGGACAAATAAGCCCTTGTTTTAGGCTTCTCTGGTGATAAAGAACCCACCTGCCAGTGTAGGAGACACAAGAGATGCAGGTTTGATCCCTGGTTTGGGAACATTTACCTGGGTTGAGAAGGAAATGGCAACCCACTTTAGTATTCTTGCCTGGGAAATCTCATGGACAGAGGGGCCTGGCAGGGTCCATGGGGTCACAAAAGAGTCAGACACAACTTAGTGACTAACAGCAACAAACTCCTTGTTTTAAAGATAAACATGTGCTCTGTGTGTGTGTGTTTGTGTGTGCACTCAGTCACTCAGTTGTGAAGACATCCAAACTACTCACTGGTGACTACCAGGAATCTACTGATTAAATATGATTCTTCATTACTATAGCTCTCTTTAAATACTTAAAATCAAAATGAAGGTATAAACAAACTAACCTCTTTTTCGTTGGTTACTTAACTGAGCCTCATCCTCACTGACATTTTCACCAGGACCATCTAATTTTGTTTCCCGGTTTTCTCTGCTTTCATTGTTAACACTTCTCTTTTCAACCTTGTCTTCTCTTTCTTTTCTATTTTGTGGCTTCTTATTTCCTTGACTGATGACACTCTGACACTGCAAAAGGTTTTACAGAGTTAAATTTTCATGAACAACAATATCCCCACATTTGTGGTAATATCTTACCTACATATCATAAAACAAATGACAACTTTTATCAAAAATAAAAAACTACAAAAGACATTGTTCAGAGAAAAGTCAAGCGAAAGTCAAGGAGAAAATATTTACTAAGTATCTGATAAAAGGACTTGTATCCAAGATATATAATGAACTCTAAAATGCAGCAACAAGAAAACAATTAAAAAGTGGGCAAGGGTTAAACAGACATTTCATCAAAAAGACATACTGATGGCAAATGTACATGAAAATGTGTTTGACATCAATAGAAAAGTGCAAAGTAAAACTACAGTGTGATACACCTACTAGACTGATTAAAATTAAGACTGACCATGTCAAGTATTAGTGAGATATAGAGCAATTAGAATTCTCATATGCTGCTGGCGGAATAAAAAGTTTGGTAGTTTAAAATTTTAAATAGCTACCATAAAATCCACCTATTCTACTCCCAGGAAAAATAAAAGCATATATCCATGCAAGTTTTGTACACAAATATTTATATAGTAGCCTATTCCTAACAGTCACAAAACTGGAATCAACACAAATGTTCACCAGTAGGTGAATGGACAGCATTATATCCATCAATTGACTACTACCCAATAAATAAGAACAAACTACTCATATATATAACATAAATAAATCTCAAAATAATTAAGCTAAATGAAAGCCAGGGGCAAAAAAAAAGTACATGCTGTATAACTTCACTTATATAAAACTGTAGGAAATGCATTGTATATCAACTATACTCCAACAAAAATTTTTTTAAAAACTGGAGAAAAGGCAAATTAACTAAGTAGACCTTAACAGTGGTTGGGATAATGGTGTGGTGAAGGGCATGACAGGGAAGAATTACAAATCAAGTTCATTATCCTGTTTGTGGAGAAAGTTTCACAGGTCAAAGTATATCAGACTGTACCCTTCATATACAGTTGTTATGTTGTTTATATATCAATTAAGTTGTTTCATATATACTAAACTATACTCCAATATTACTGCACAAAATAGAACAAAATGTACAGTGTCAAATGAAACCATGGAACCAGATGACCATAGACACTACGTCTTTAAAAAATCCTTAGGAAAAAAAAAAAAAAACTTTAGAAAATCCTTTTTATTTATTGTTATTATTTTTTTATTTGGCTGTGGCTCCAACATGTGGGATCTCAGTTCCCCAACCAGGGATTGAACCCATGCCCCCTCCAGTGGAAGCATGGTCTTAACCCCTGGACAGCTAGGGAAGTCCCTAAAAAGCCTTTTGACAGACTATTTCAGAATATCTTTTTAGAACTTCTTTCATAGTTAAATTAGAAATCCATTTACTGAGACTTCCCTGGTGGTCCAGTGGTTAAGAATCACCCGCCAATGCAGAAGGTATGGGTTTAATTCCTGGTCCGGGAAGATTCCTCAGGCCTAGGGTCAACCACAGGCACCACAACCTGTGCACCACAACTGCTGAGCCTATGGTTTACCCCTGCTCACCACAACTAGAGAAAGCCCAAGAGCAGCACAAAGACCCAGCACAGTCATAAATAAATAAATAAAGCAAACATAAAAACCTAAAACTGTTTTAAAAAATCTTTTGATATGTTATATGCATATATATGTACGTGTATATAAAGACTTAAGACTTCAACACATTGAAAAAATTTTACTTAAACATATATAAAATAAATTTTGAAACACAAAATGGGCTTCAATTAGACATACTACATTAAAAAATAATCTATTTGTAGGCATTACATGAAGTTGACATTACAGTACCCCATTCTTTCCAAATACATGGTCCTGAGAATACAACCAGATGAAGGCAATGTGATGAAAGAAATCAAAGTATTTGGAAAATGGGCATTTTATCAATGTGATTCTCTAAATTTGAAGTAAAATAAAGTCTGCATGTGAAATGAGAATACTTTCCCTTTATTTAAAAAAAGGTCTTAAAAGAATACTCACTTCAGTGTTCACTAATTCACTTGGTGTTGGCCAATTTGCCATATCACTGAAATCACTGGCCTAAGAAGTAATAAGAGAAGTGTTATGCAAATTAGGAATTTTCTAAATAGAAAAAGATTTTTCTAAAATTAAATGCAACTTTTAAAATCATCTACATTCATTTATATGTAGGCATTTGCCAAATTAATCCAAAACCTTCTCCAAAAAACAGAACCCAGAAAGAATGCTTTGGTTTTATAATCCAACTTCTGGCACAACTTTGACTAAACTGATAGACGCAGGATAACATATGCATATGGAGATCTGGATAAAGGCTACAATTCTCTAGTATATTAACATCAAATATCAATGACAGAAGAGAAAAATACACAGTAATCTGAGGAGTTCCTTTCAGAATAGTCAAAAATTATTTATTGTCAAGTATACCTTATTGGATTTCTTTGTCTTGAGTTTTCCTGCTTTTATAATTTTGGGGGAACTGAGCTCTAAAAAAAAAAAATACAAAGAACTGTTTTTTACAACCGTATCACTTAATATTTGATAAAATAACAATCAAACCAATTTCAGTAAGTCAATGTAGTCATTATTTTTAACAAAATGCAAAGTTCTAAGACTCAAATTCCTAACAAGAAATCAACCACATTTCAAACATGGGCTGAAAGTGGTCTTCAGTGTTCAAATAAAGAAGAAGAAATATTAACAGCTTACTGAACTGACAGACCAGTCCTTTCACTAACAGGTGTAACATGGAAAAATTAGAAATATAACACATTTTTGTAAAGTTGGTGAATCAATTCCCAATGGGATATATTTTTCTATCTGTATTATATATGTCATTGCTGTTTAATCGCTAAATAGTGTGACTCTTTGCAGCCCCATGAGCTGTAGCCCTCCAGGCTCCTCTGTCCATGTGGTTTCCCAGGCAAGAATGGAATGGGTTGCCATTTCCTTCTCCAGGGGATCTTCCCAACCCAGGGATCAAGCCCACATCTCCTGCATTGGCAGGGGGATTCTTTACCACTGAGCCACCAGGGAAGCCATATACTATATCTATAATACATTTATTTGTATATATAATATATTCACATACATCAAGAAGCATCCAGAAAATAAGTCAGAAGACTTCAATTTGTCTTTGGAAAAACCAAAATAGCTTGTCTCTAGAATCAAGCCATAAAAAATAAAACAGACTTCTATAAAAGCATGTGTAAGACTATCACAGTATCATCACCTGTCCCTATCTTGAATAAGAACACAATGATTGATAATAATAGTCTCCAAATGAAGCTTTAAAATGTCTTTTTATCTAGCACGATGATTATCTAGTTATACATGGCCTAAAGTAAATATTAAAGTCGAATAAACAAAAAACACAATAATTTAGTAAACCATGAATCCCATAAATCATGGCAATGACCAATTCAGAGTAAAATAAAATGATTTTTAAATTAAAACCAGAAAAATTCAAATAAGATATTAAGAAAGGAAGCTGGATGAAGGATGACGACATTCCCAGGGATGGGCACACAAGGAGCGTGAATACTGTAGAAATTCTATTTCTAAAGCAGATAGTGAGTATACATGGCTATTTGTTCTATACTCTCTTATACTTTAGGGACACAAGTAAATGTGTAAGTAAATGTCAGTCACTCCGTCATGCCCCACTCTTTGTAACCCCACAGGCTGTAGCTCACCAGGCTCCTCTGTCCATGGAATTCTCTAAGCAAGGGTAGCCATTCCCTTCTCCAGGGAATCTTCCCTACCCAGGGATCAAACCTGGGTCTCCCGCACTGCAGGCAGATTCTGTACCGTCTGAGCCACCAGGGGAGTGTACTGTGCAGTCACTAAGTGTTTGACTGTCTGCGACCCATGGATTGCAGCCAATCAGGCTCCTCTGTTCATGGGATTTTCCCAGGCAAGAATACTGGAGTGGGTTGTCATTGGGGAGCTTTCCGACCCAGGGATCCAAACAGCATACCCTACATTGGCAGAAGGATTCTTTTTTTTTTTTTTTTTTGGCAGAAGGATTCTTTACCGTTGAACCACAAGACTATTATTAACCTAATGAGCAATTCACTCTCAGGTCCAACTATCCTGTTTCAACAATTTTCCACCACAATTATGAACTCAAAACTTTTCAGTAGCAACTACAGTACAGTTTCATTTTTAATATGACTACTTAGCACTGTTTTGAGAACCCTGAAAAATTTCAGCTTATCAATTCTTTCATAATAAAAATTCACAATTGCACTTCCATTTATAAATAAATCCCCCTTCTCCAACTTGCTTCACCTCTTCTTAAAAAGTCTACAGAAACTACTACAGGGAAATGTATACATGCATATAAATAAGCATAGAGATAAATACTTCATTAAGAAAAATGAGATGCAGAAAAAAATATGCATGGGTAGGACAAAAAAGGAGGCAAGAAAAAAAATCTAATCTAACAAAAACAGTATTTGTCCAAATATTATCTAGAATTTGACTAAGGTATATTCTATAAATAGCACATGTATTTTATGAAAGTTACACAGTATCAAACATTTGAAAGACTTTTCCCTCAGCCAAGTAAAAACACATCCCAAAATATTGCTAAGTCAAGTGATTATTGCCTGGTGGTTACAAAACACAGCCTTACACTAACTATCTGATGTAATGGGAAGTAGTTAGGGATAGGCCACAAAAGTAAATTTTATTACAAATCAAGCAGACAGTAATAATCACAAAATTAAGGTCAGAAATTTAAAAATTATTCTGACCACATAAACTTTAAAACTTTAGCATTAAATGACAAGTTATTTACAAGCAAAAATATCTGAACATAAGTTAACAATCTTTTTGATTTAAAAATCAACATGGTGCCATACCCTACACAGACACTGATTATAACCTCTGGCTAAAAGAAACTGGGAAGGTAACCCAATATTGTAAATCAACTATACTTTAATTAAAAAAAAAAAATGTTGGAGGTAACTCCCTGGCAATTCAGTGGTTAGCACACAGTTCTCTAACTGCCAGAGGCCTGAGTTCAAACCGTAGTTTGGGAACAAAAGATTCCGCAAGCCATGCAGGGCAGCCAGGGAGGGATAATCTTGATCTTTATTTCTTCACACATATAAAAATAAAAGGAAGAGAGATTTTTATTTCAACCAATTCTTTTGTTTAAATTTTAATCTCTCAACTTTAACTCTTCCTCAGGTAATAAATGGAAAATAGGTCACATTTAAGTCTGTGGCCTCTATAATTCTGCCATTTTATTGACAAAAGTATCTTTAAGTACACAGTGTAATTTGGATATTTATAGTTTACCAATATGGTAATTCATTTTCATCAAAAGATATTTGACAAATTATGTTGGCCACTGTGGTTGGATACTCAGATAGGAAAGAGGGATTTCCTAATACTGGTTACCAAATGGCACTTATAGTTACTCTACTTTTTTAAAAGGAAGACTATCCTGGAACATTCCTGTTCCCAAGTACCAATTGTTCCCACAGAAACAATGTTTCCTGATTAATGAGTTTAGGAAAAGAACTGACTTGCAAAGCCAGCACCTTTCCCCTTTCCTTTGGGAGCTAGCTGTCCACAAAAAGTAAGCATTCTGGTCTGCTCCTTCATGCTGTCAACCACACAGGGCAGACTACCCAACAGAGGCAGAAAGGGAACATGCAGTTGTGCAACACCAACTGTGAATACATTTGTCTAATTCCAAGTTCAACATAAGGAAGTCCTTTGTTCTGCTCTTAGACCACCTCATCAACCCACTCTTTCTTCAGTTAAAAGAATGATATGAGCTTTAAAAAAACAAATTTGAATAAAAGATAAACATGATTCAAAAATAAAGTAGCAGTGGCCAAACACAAAATGGCACTAAGAAATTTTAAGTGAAAACAATTTTCACCTATCATTCTGACAAAAAAGAAAATGCCAAGTGTTGGCAAACCTGTATAAATGGACATTTCTCTCATGCTGTTGGAATGAATATGTAGTAGAATCTTTCAAGGGTAACCTGACATTTAAAATGTATATACTATTTTTGGAATGTCCTGCCAATCCAGTGGTTAGGACTCTGCTCTCACTGTCCAGGGCCTGGGTTCAATCTCTGGTGGGGGAACTAAATAAAATCCCCAAGCTATGTGGCAAAAAAGTAATACTACTACTAATATATATATACCCTTTTAAAAGATAACCGACAAGGACCTACTGTATAGCACTGGGAACTCTACTCAATGTTCTATAACTTATATGAAAAAATAATCTGAAAAAGAATGAATATACATTCTGAATCACTGTGAGGTACACCTGAAACTAACACAACATTGTAAATCAACTGGAATCCAATAAAGTTTTAAAAATTTAATAAAATGCATATATATTTTAATGAAAAAGTTCAATTTCTTAGAAATTATCTGAGAATTAAGACAAGATACAAAGATGTCTGTATAAAATTTTCACTGTAGGGATTTCTGGCGAGCTAGTGGTTAAGACTCCATGCTTTCACTGCAGGGGACATGGGTTCAACCCCTGGTCTGGAAACTAAGATCGTGCTTGGCGAGCAGCACAGCCAAAAAAATACGTTCATTGTAGCAGAGAAAGGGCTTCCTAGGTGGCTCAGTGGTAAAGAATCTGGCTGCCAAAGAAGGAGACACAGGAAACACAAGTTTGATCCCTGGGTTGGAAGATCCACCAGACTTCATTAAAACAAATAACCTCTAGGAAGTTCCCTAGATAACTGTATTTAATAAATAACCTCTAGGGAGTTCCCTGGTAGCCTAATGGTTAGGATTTGTGGCTTTCACTGCCGTGACTGTTCCAAAAAACTGAGATCCCACAAGCTGTGTGGCATAGCCAAAAAATAAATATATAACTACTATATTGTTGAATATAGGAGTTATATTATTGGTATATTTATTAAAAATAATGCAAAATTTAAGAAATAAGACAAATCTGTATGTATTAATACACCAGATTCTACATATAATTTTACACACACATATAGAAGAGGTAAAACAAGGCCAAGAAAATATTTTCATTTTCCCATGCTCCAAACAAAATGGAGGAAACTGCTCTCCCAGTATGTCATTAGAAAAAAATCTAAGACTAAAAAAGAAAGCCAACCTAAAAACTTAGAAATACAGAAACTTTATTAAAAAAATTTTTTCAGACAGATGAAGCCTAAGAAATTTAAGCTCCAAGTATATATATGTGTGTGTGTATATATAGAACGTACACACATATATATACATGTCTCCAAGTATATATGTATATATACATAAACAAGTATGTGATCTTCACATATCCATTTTTCAATCACTGGTGAGCCAAAATACAACTTTGAGTATTACTGTAATATCTTAATCTATAAGGAAACAAGTCCTGATAAGAAAACAATTCATTTGAAAAGCTTGGATAGTGAGAACAAAAAAATGCAACATGATAGGTGATTTTACTCTAATTTTCATGACCATAATCTTTAGCAAAGTTTTAATCAAGAAAAGGCATTGACAGTTATCAATCATTAATCACATGGTTTTATTATATTTAAGGAAGAAATGTCATCAAATGCCATTTTATTACAGTAAATGAGTGCCTTAAAAAAATGTGTAAAAAAGCCTACTTACTTCTCAGACTCTAAAATTGAGACTATCAATCTGTAGTCACTTTAGAGAACAACCTGTCAACAAATACACTGTGACCTAACAATTCCACATAGCTATCCTAGAGTAAATCAGACATGTACATAAGAGAAATGCATAAAGATGTTTAAAACAACCAGGATGTTGATTAATAGGTAAAGGGCTAAACTGACTACATCAGTTATATTTATAGACCACTTCTCTGCAATTTTTTAAAGTTTAGACTAAAAAGCATCAACTCTATCACAAGAAAAAAATTTTATAAAAAGTATGTAGATGGTAGTTAACTAAACATATGATAATCATTTGCAATGTTGTTGTTTAGTTGCTAATTCGTGTCCGACTCTTTTACAACCCCATGGACTGTAGCCTGACAGGCAGCTTTGTCCATGGGATTTTCCAGGCAAGAATACTGGAGTGGGTTGCCTTTTCCTTCTCTGCATGCATGCCAAATCACTTCAGTCATGTCCAACTCTGTGGGACCCTATGGACTGTAGCACACCAGGCTCCTCTGTCCATGAGATTCTCCAGGCAAGAATACTGCAGCGGGTTGCCATTTCCTTCTCCTGGTGATCTTCCCTACCCAGGGATGGAACCTGTGCCTCTTAAGTCTCCTGCATTGGAGGCAGGTTCTTCACCACTAGCACCATCTGGATTTTCTTGACCCAGGGATCAAACCCGCATCCCCTGCCTTGACAGGTGGATTCTTTACCACTAAGCCACCAGGGAAGTCCACAATATGTATATGCAAATCTGAATCACATACCTGAAACTAGTATTAATATAATTTAAAAAAGAAAACTCACTGTAAAGAAAAATAAAAGGATCAGGCAAAATTTTAAATTGAGAATAGTCTAAATGCACATACAAAACACTGTATTTGAAAATAATTTCACAGAAAGGACTGAAAGGATATTCAATAAACTGGTAACATGACTATTCTTTTTTTTGAAGGGAACAGCAAAATTCTGTGTTTATAAAAACATATTTATGTATAATTTATATAATTTAAGTAAAACATTATTAGGTTTACAGTAAGCTCATTTAAGGTTTCTGGGAAACACACGTGGAGAAAAGGTTGATGGGGTCAAGAAGACTAAAGATGAAAAAGAAAAAAAAAACTTTTTGTATTCTGACCCAACCTCTCAGCATGAAGGATAGTTCCCCAACCAGGGATCAAACCAGGGCCTCTGAAGTGAAAGAGCCAAATCCTAACCACTAGGCCACCAGGCAAGTCCCAAAATCAATATTTTTGTGAGTAAAAATTAAATTTAGAAAGCTGATTTTTAACATGCAAATTGTAACCATGGGTACAAGGTAGGTGACTCATAAATCCCCTACTTTGACCTTCGTAAAAGTCTTCAAAGTAAGTAAAATTATTTAAACATGGATCGGGGAACAATTCTTTCTAGTCTCCTGACGAGAATTTAAGACTGCAGTGATACTATTCTAGGCTCTCTTGTGGGCCGGGCTTTGGCTGAAAAGAGGGTCTTATCTGGATTACCAGAAACACCAATACACAAGCCAGAACTATCCCCAAAGCGGAGGAAAGTGTGTCACAGGGCTGAAGAATTCCTCACTTGCAATTCAGTTAGAACTTCAGGTTCTAACAAAAAATTCATGACTACAAGTCCAGAAATACTTCCCTACATTTCCCATGTTTCTATCTCTGGTAGTAAACTTTCGGCCAAAAATTTTATGGTGAATGGATTTCTGGTACTTCAAGGCCCAGAAATCTTGCCAAAAGTCAACTAGCTAGGTAGTAGCCAATCTGGTCTAGAACGCAAGTTGTGCATTTCTACTCCACAAACTCTTGTCTAAGTTACCTAGACAGAATTTTTCAATTATGAATAGAAGTTGTGTAGAAGTACAGAGTCAGTGTTGGCGATAGACTATAAAGTTACTACAACACTCCAAGTACAAAGAACAGTATTCCGGCAGGTATAGAATAGATTCCAAGAACAGAAATGTTGCCTACAGAGAAACATCAGCAAAATTAAAGTCCCTATGAACCACACCTGGTTCATCACCAGATGCTTAATCTGCAACTAAGATTAAGGTCCCTATTGAATGCACTTGCAGGCTAATTATATTAAATTGTTAAATATTTTCACAAGGTAATCTCCAATTAAAATTTGAGTCTTAAAACCTGTCAAATTAATTGCACAATCAAGGTTTGGTGTTTTTTTTTGGTAGATCACTGACTATAATGTATAATGTGTGTAAGTCTCAGAGTAGGGAGGTGAGACAGACAATAAGATTCACTAATGTTTTCATTTTAAGACTTTTGTTCTCTTCAGTTAGTAACAGTGGTAAACAGAGCTTTGCAGCTCGGAGAGAATGGCGGCAAATTTAAATTTAGGGCAAAAACTGTGAGCAGATTTTTCTGTGTAAGATTTATCAAATGATAATTTAAAGACCATCAAACCTCAGATGTAAAATAACTATTTGTTTAAAGTTATACTGTTTTGCAGCACTAAAAAATGATTATTACTGTGCAAACCAACGAACACTTATCTCACTCTATTGGAGTTCCTTAGAAGAAATGTTACTATAGCTGCAATATGTTATCTATAACAATCACCTTATATTTGACCATTCCTTAGTCTCATTTGATCCTCACAACCCTGTAAACACGCTTGAATTTTCCCTGTTTCACTGTTAACCTTTAAGAAAAGCAAACACTTGTAAGTAAACAGCTGTAATTTCTATATGAAAAGTTTAACTTACTACAGCTTAATTAAAGAGCAAAACTAGTTTGTCTTCGTTTTATTTACGATATCTATTTAGCTTAAAAAAAAACCTGAAGTTGTTATAATCAAAATAAATCTCTAGGGAACATACGGCATTGGTCAGCATCAAATTCAGCGACACAATCTTACCTCCTCTAGGAAGGAAAGGTAACTGAATGTTTGTTGTTGTATAGTCGCTAAGTCGTGTCCGACTCTTTGCGACCCATAGACTGCAGCCAATGAGGCTCCTCTGTTGATGAGATTTCCCAGGCAAGCCTAGTGGAGCGGGTTGTCATTTCCTTCTCCAGGGGATCTTTCCTACCCAGGGATCCAACAGGCATACCCTACACTGGCAGAAGGATTCTTCACCGTAGAAACACAAGACTACTATGACTACTATTCACCTAATGAGCAATTCACTCTCAGGTCAACTACCCTATTTCAACAAGTTTCCACCACAATTATGAACTCAAAACTTTTTACCAACAACTACAGTACAGAGTCTCATTTTTAATGTGACTACTTAGCACTGTTTTGAAAATCCTGCCAATTCTCAGCTTATCAATTATTTCATAATAAAAAATTCTCAACTGCGCTTCCATTTATAAATAAATCCCCCGTCCGACTTGCCTCACCTCTTCTCAAAAAGTCTACAGAAACTTCTGTAGGATGAATTGAACATCTACCTCAAGTCAGCTTTCCCAATTCACTACCACGTGGGGGCAAGACAAAACTGAGGCAGTGCCAGCCGAGTGGCTCAGCTCCATTGCCCCCGCCGTGCCCCCACTAGTCAAGGAGAACCCGAGGTCCCACCTCTTCCTGTAGCTCCCTTCCCAGATCTCCATTTATGTAAATAGGCAGAATGAATGACACCTTGGAACGAAACACCTCGGACTGACAGGGCAAGGAGCCCTGCCCCTGCCCCTCCCCCAGCCCCGCGGAGCCTTGGTCGCCACAAGTCGCCCCTGCACACACCCCCCGGTGCCCACCGCAGAGGAGCCACAGACCTGCCTCCAAGGTTTCCAGTGGGGGCAACGGCAGCGGCCCCGTCCCGGCGGGGGACAGGTGCTGCGGAGGCTTTCTGGTCCAGGGATTCTCCTTCGGCGGTGGCGGCGGCTGCAGCTTTTCCTCAGAGCTGGCCGCCGCAGCCTCCTCCTCCCGGGCGTTCTTGGCCGGCGGGTCCCGCGGCAGCGGTCGCGGCGGCTCCCCGCCGAAGGGCCCCCCTGGCCCGCGCGCCTTGTGCGCCAGGTGCAGCGCCAGGGGCTTCACAGGCACGGCCGCCTGAGGCACGCTGTGTCCCAGCACCGGCGCCGGCGACGGCTCGCCCCGCGCCCCCGCGCTGGTGGCGGTCGCGGCCCTCTCCTCCCTCGCCGCCTCCTTGCCCTCCCGTTCGAGCGGGGGTAGCTGCTCGGCCTGCCGGCTCCCCGCGGCCGCCAGCGACTCCCTCTCAGCTGCTACCGCGGGAGGCTCCTCCCGAGGGTGAGCGGCGGGCACTGGAGCGCGAGCAGACATGGTCCCCCTGCCCCAGCCGCCCCAGCCAGGGGGGGCCCGGGGCAAGGGAGCCCGGCTGCCCGTCGCTCCGCCGGGACACCGACTGGCTGCGGCCTGAGGAAGAGAACCCGAGAACCCGGTCGCCGTCGCCACGGCCGCCCGTGTCGGGTGAGGAGGCCGTGCAGCTCTCGGCGTGCCGCCCCTCCCCGCGTCGAACGGGGCGCTAACCGCCCGTCGGCCCAGCCTGCCTCAGCGGCTCTAGCCCCGAGCCTGCCAACACGCGCCGGGCTTCGCAGCCGGAGCCGCGAGCCCTCAGCCGGCGCGGGCTGAGGCAGAAGCGCCGCAAACCGAGGCTTGAGGACCTCTAGCAGCGTCGGAGAGGCGCGCGCTACCACAGCCGGTAACTGCTCGCGGGGGGCGGAGGCGGGGCCGGGAAAGGGGGCGGTCCGAGAGGACGGAGCGAGGGCGGGGCCTCCCGGAGGAGCGTGACGTGGCTACTCACCGGCTCCGGACCTCGCCAGGCCGCCGCCCGCGGTGGGTGGCCGACGATCCCGCCTCGGTGCCGCCCTGCTTGAGGGCCGGCCCCGCCCCAGCGGCCAGCCGAGGGGAAAGGAGGGCGAACAGGGCGATTCCCCGGCTCCCGGGCCGCGGCGGCCCTCGCTACGGGCCCAGGGGCGGGGCGCGCACCAGGCCTCTGTGACTCGCAACTGGCTTGCGCCTCGCTGGGCCGGCAAAGAGCGAGGGGCGGGGCGCCCGACGCACGTGGCTCTGGGCGGCAGGTGGCTGGGGTCGCTTTGCCCCAGGCCCTGAAGACCAGTTCCCTCGGGGCGAAGTGGGTAATCTGGGCGGTAGACCCTGGGCGGCTCCCTAATGGGCCTTACTGTCGTCCCCCCGCCTTCACCGGGCCAATTTGCTCCCCGCGTCCGTCGCTTCGCCGGGTGAAAAGCTTTCCCCCGGCGTTTTCGGGCACTGTGGTCACATGTAATCTTGAGCCACGTCCAAAATAAAAAACAGTGTAATCTATAAGTAACTTTAAGAAACCTTTGCCCCGGGACCAGAACCAGTGCATTTCCCCGCCCTTATTCCCACCCACAATCCGAAATGTTTAAAGTGCTTAGGAGTAAAACAGATAATACTAAGCCGGTTTAAAAAAAAAATGTTACAGGTTTTGTCTGTGTCTTCTTTAAAATTTTTTTAAGTGTTTCAGGTGTACAGCACAGGGGTTCCGTTATATATATTCTTTTTCAAATTATTTTACATTACAGCTTGTTAGAAGTTATAGAATATAGCTCCCTGTGCCATATATTAGGTTCGTTTGTTTATTTCGGGTTGTGCTAGGTCTCTCTTGCTGCGAGGGGGTGCTATTCTAGTTCTGATGGCCAGGTTTCTCACTTCATGGCTTCTCTTGTTGCAGGAGCACAGGCTCTAGGGCTCCAGGGCTTCAGTAGTTGCGGCTCCCTGACACTAGAGTACAGGCTCAATAGTTGTGGACCATGGGTTTAGTTGCTGGGCGTTTGTGGGATTTTCCCTGACCAGGGATCTAACACATGTCACCTGCGTTGACTGGCGGATTCCTTACCAGTGAGCCACCAGGGAAGCACAGTTTGTTTCGTATACAAGGTTTTGTTTTGTTTTCTAGAGAAACATTGTTTATGAATTAACCCGTACTCCAAATACTTTTTCATGGATGGATATATCTTCTGTTCAGTTCAGTCGCTCAGTCGTGTCCGACTCCCTGCGACCCCATGAATCGCAGCACGCCAGACCTCCCTGTCCATCACCAACTCCCGGAGTTTACTCAAACTCATGTCGAGTTGGTGATGCCATCCAGCCATCTCATCTTCTGTCGTCCCCATCTCCTCCTGCCCTCAATCCCTCCCAGCATCAGGGTCTTTGCCACTGAGTCAACTCGTTGCATGAGGTGGCCAAAGTACTGGAGTTTCAGCTTCAGCATCAGCCCTTCCAAGGAACACCCAGGACTGATCTCCCTTAGGATGGACTGGTTGGATCTCCTTGCAGTCCAAGGGACTCTCAAGAGTCTTCTCCAACACCACAGTTCAAAAGAATCAATTTTTCGGCGCTCAGCTTTCTTCACAGTCCAGCTTTCACATCCATACATGACCACTGGAAAAACCATAGCCTTGACTAGAGGGACCTTTGTTGACAAAGTAATGTCTCTGTTTTTTAATATACTGTCTAGGTTGGTCATAACTTTCCTTCCAAGGAGTAAGCGTCTTTTAATTTCATGGCTGCAGTCACCATCTGCAGTGATTTTGGAGCCCAAAAAAATAAAGTCTGACACTGTTTCCACTGTCTCCCCATCTATTTGCCATGAAGTGATGGGACCAGATGCCATGATCTTAGTTTTCTGAATGTTGAGCTTTAAGCCAACTTTTTCACTCTCCTCTTGCACTTTCATCAAGAGGCTCTTTAGTTCCTCTTCACTTTCTACCATAAGGGTGGTGTCATCTGCATATCTGAGGTTATTGATATTTCTCCCAGCAATCTTGATTCCAGCTTGTGCTTCATCCAGCCCAGCGTTTCTCATGATGTACTCTGCATGGAAGTTAAATAAGCAGGGTGACAATATACAGCCTTGACGTATTCCTTTTCCTATTTGGAACCAGTCTGTTGTTCCATGTCCAGTTCTAACTGTTGCTTCCTGACCTGCATGTAGGATATATATTAATAAGGTACAAATATGTGTTGAGTTTTAAAATGCAATAAGAGCTTTCTACTTGGCACTCAAGTGAATTATATTGGTTTATTGGTTTCATGTGAGTTTATTTTATGAGTTAATAATATTTTTGTTGCCCTACAAGTTCATTGAAAATGAGTTCAGCTAGGTGAAAAAGTTTTCCCTGAGGGACTGGCCCCCCAAACCCCGAAAAATAGCTGTACCTGACATCTGTAGGGACCTGGCTTTGGGTCCCTCCTAGCTTCCTTTAAGGGCCAAGAAATGTGTACAGGACTCACCTACCATGAGTCTTGTTTCAATCATGTTAAATTTGAGATAAGTATATTTTTTGTTTACTCAAAAGTTGTACTAGGTGTAAATTCCTTATTTTCCTAAGGCTAATAAACTATTCACACATTACAACAACTATAAACAATAAAGCCTTTTCTTGTTTTCCACATCACTGGTTTACAACTTACCCCATCCTAAGCAACCTTATAAACGTTTTTCCAATCATTGTTCTTTAGTTGCTAAGTTGTGTTTGACTCTTTCATGACCCCATGGACTGTAGCCAGCCATGCTCTTCTGTGTATGGGAATTCCTAGGCAATAGTGGGGTGGGTTACCATTTCCTTCTCCAGGGGATCTTCCTGACCCCACAATTGAACCCACGTCTCTTGCATGGCAGGAGGACTCTACCTGTGAGCTATCAGGGAAGCACGTTTCCGATTAAATAAGTGATTGTACTTCCACCTTAAAGTGTATTTCCATAGAGGCACCATCTTTACTGGGCTTCCCAGGAGGCACTAGCGGTAAAGAAGCTGCTTGCCAATGCAGGAGATGTAAGAGAGAGATACAGGTTGGATCCCTGGGTCAGGAGGATCCCCTAGAGGAGGAAATAGCAATCCACTTCAGTATTCTTGCCTGGAGAATCCCATGGACAGAGGAGCCTGGCAGGCTACACTCAATAGGGTCACAAAGAGTCGGCAGGACAGAAGCGACTTAGCATGCACCATCTTCACTTACTCTTTTATTGGTGAAGCCTTATGTTTTTACCTATCAACTAGGTGATCTTCCTGTGATAATAAGCCTTTTGGAATTTTCCCAGTTAGTTCTTCAGTCTCTTTTACAAAAGCCTATTAAAATGGTATGTGTTCTCAGTTCAGTCGCTCATTTGTGTCCAACTCTTTGCAGCCCCATGGACTACCACACACCAGGCTTCCCTGGCCTTTACCAATTCCGAGAGTTTGCTCAAACTCATGACCATTGAGTCAATGATGCCATCCAACTGTCTTATCCTCTGTCATCCCTTCTCCTCATGCCTTCATTCTTTCCCAGCATCAAGATCTTTTCCAGTGAGTCAGTTCTTCACATCAGGTGGCCGAAGTATTGGAGTTTCAGCTTCAGCATCAGTCCTTCCAATGAACACCCAGGACTGATTTCCTTTAGGATTGACTGGTTTGATCTCCTTTCAGTCCAAGGGACTCTCAAGTCTTCTCCAACCACAGTTTGAAAGCATCAGTTCTTTGGCATTCACCCTTCTTTATGGTTGAACTCTCACATCCATACATGACTACTGGAAAAACCATAGCTTTGACTAGACAGACTTTGTCAGGAAAGTAATGTCTCCGTTTTTTAATATGCTGTCTAGATTTGTCATAGCTTTTCTTTCCAGGAGCAAGCGTCCTTTAATTTCATGGCTGCAGTCACCATCTGCAATGATTTTGAAGCCCAAGAAAATAAAGTATGTCATGGTTTCCATTGTTTCACCATCTATTTGCCAAGAAGTGATGGGACTGGATGCCATGAGCTTCGTTTTTTGAATGTTGAGTTTTAAGCCAGCTTCCTCACTCTCCTCTTTCACTTTCATTGAGAGACTCTTTAGTTCCTCTTTGCTTTCTGCCGTAAGGCTGGTATCATCTGCATTTCTGACGTTATTGATATTTCTTCTGGCAATCTTGATTCCAGCTTGGGCTTCATCCATCTGGCATGTACTCACATGATGTACTCTGCATATAAGTTAAATAAACAGGGGGACAATATACAGCCTTGGAGTACTCCTTCCCCAGTTTGGAACCAGTCCATTGTTCCATGTTCAGTTCTAATTTTGGAACTGACCTGCATACAGATTTCTCATGAGGCAGGTAAGGTGGTCTGGTATTCCCATCTCTTTTAGAATTTTCCACAGCTTGTCATGATCCACACAGTCAAAGGCTTTGGTGTAGTTAATAAAGCAGAAGTAGATATTTTTCTGGAACTCTCTTGCTTTTTCGATGATCCAACAGATGTTGTCAATTTGATCTCTGGCTCCTCTGCCTTTTCTATTTCCAGCTTGAACATCTGGAATTTCTTGGTTCATATTCTGTTGAAGCCTTGCTTAGAGAATTTTGAGCATTGTTTTAATAATGTGTGAGATGAATGCAATTGTGCAGTAGTTTGAACAGTCTTTGGCATTGCCTTTCTTTGGGATTGGAATGAAAACTGACTTTTTCCAATCCTGTGGCCACTGTTGAGTTTTCCAAATTTGCTGGCACATTGAGTGCAGTACTTTCATAGCATCATCTTTTAGGATTTGAAATAGCTCAACTGGAACTTCATCACCTCCACTAGCTTTGTTCCTAGTGATGCTTCCTAAGGTCTACTTGACTTCACATTCCAGGGTGTCTGGCTCTAGGTGAGTGATGGGTCATTAAGATATTTTTTGTATAGTTCTTCTGTGTATTCTTGCCACATCTTCTTAATATCTTCTGCTTCTGTTAGGTCCATACCGTTTCTGTTCTTTATAGTGCCCATTTTACATGAAATTTTCCCTTGGTATCTCTAATTTTCTTGAAGAGATCTCTAGTCTTACATTCTATTGTTTTCCTCTATTTCTTTGCATTGAGAAGGCTTTCTCTCTCCTTACTGTTCTTTGGAACTCTGCATTCAGATGGGTATATCTTTCCTTTTGTCCTTTGCCTTTAGCATCTCTTTTCTCAGCTGTTTTACCATTTATTTAAATACAGTGGATTAAATATGTGGATTCAGTTGAGCAGAAGGGTATGTGGAGTGGTTCCTGAAGTTAGATTCATATGGGCTACTTAACCATGATTGGTGGTTTTGTTTGTTTGCTGTTTTGTTGTTGTTGTTTCTGAAGTGAAAAATCATAATGCTTCATTGAAGGAA